TGACCCTTGAACCTTGGAGTTGCTTTCAGTTGGGCATCCTTTACCATGTTGAAAGAGAGTTATACATGAATTGCAACAACCATGTATTGGCTAATGCACATGGTAAATTGCTGTCACTAACAGGCTCTATACTTGTCACCTCCAGTGCAGGTACTTGAGAGCATCTTGTGGCCGCTTCAAACCTCTGCCTTTTTCTTCAGGGTTTTTGTGCCTTTTGTCATCAATAATTTTCACTTGAGCCTTTGTGTTGTTATTACTAATTTAAAATTTTATTGTTGTTGGGGTTTTTTGCCTACCCCCTCCTTTTTTTTTTATTCCTGGGTTGCTCTGTGGCGACTGATTCAGTCTGGGTACAAGAGGCTTTTTGTGGTAGAGAATTCCACCTCCAAATATATGTCTGTGGGGTCTCTTGCCTGCTTCTAGATGGATTTTCTTACTTTACCTTTCAGGATCACATCGATCATTCAGTTGCACTGTGCTTCATGAAGCTGTTGCCATGTGTTATTGCATAATAATTATGATTCAAATATGCTGGAATTCTGTAAAACATTTCATGAGATGGTAGACTGTCCCTCATTTGCTATTTGTTTTTTTCAGAGGTGCAAACATATTGGCTGTGCTTCCAAAATCTTACATTTCTGCCATGTTTTTAGCTTTTTCTCGTTTCTTTGTGAGCAGCTGAATTATATTTATTTTCTTCAATTTCTTTTCTGGTGTTGGAATCAGTTTGTATTCTTATTAATCCCAGGGTGAAGGGTTTTCAGCCTCAAATTCCACTGCCATTAATAAATATCATGGTGGCAAATGCCCTAAGCTAAAATGTAAATTTTAACTTTCTTATATATTATTAAAGATAGTGTTAGTCTGTGAAGAATTAGCTTATAGATAATGATAAATAATGACCAGTCTATTCTTTCCTACATTGAAGCTTATGTCCAGTGCGTATGTTTTACTTTTATGCAAAAATTGCTCCTTTGCTTAAACTACAATGAACATATTTGCAGTGGGGGTGGGACGTACCTCTCTGTTTCAAGTATAAATAATGGAAACTATGAGCATATGTAATTTCTGGCACAAATATGAGAAAATGTGAAATTAAAAAAGTTGTGGGCCATTGGCTTTGTCTTGTATTTTGAAGAGAAAATGTTTAACAAAGCTTAGATAATAACATATTTGTTAGTTTTTACATAATGGGACAGATTTCAAATTATATTTTTAGTCAAATTTTTGCTGGCAAATGGTGTCAAAATAACGATATGTTAGTTTGAGGCTACTAAACGGGCAACAATCTGCCCAATATAGTAAAATCTGACAATGAGCTGTTATAATGGACATGAGTTTGTGGCATGTAACTATGTATAGAGAAAACATACTTGATATGCAGAGCACTATGTAGCTGTAGTATATAGACATACAAGTAAAATTTTGGGAAGAGAGAAAAATAAGGTAAATATAATATTTATATTTACCATGATTAAAAGCGATTATGTAAGTACTTTGTGCCTGGGCAAATAATTTTTTAAAAAATTATTTTTCTAATTTGAGTGGTTTTTGCTTGATTTGCTGGTATTTTTGGCCTTCACATCAAGCTACTGGAGCTTACTTGTTGTCACTATCTGTAGAGAGCAGAGGATGAAGGGTATATGTGAGGAGAGAGCCCCAGAGGGCAAGATTAAGGAGGAAGTTTAAACTGGGTTTTTGTTGCTGTCTTTTGAGATAACAGCAAGGTTCAGCCCCTCAAAGTTAAGTGTTCGTACTCAGCTCTTTATGACAGTGAACTGCAAACATGTTATTCAACCTGTTCAGAGCACTAGATCCTTCAAATTAGCTGGAAAGTGAAAATACAACTTTCCAGTGTTGTACTTGTAGAAGTATAATCAGTTCAGCCAAGTTAATGTGAATGATTTCAGATTTTATTATAATCCCAACTTGACCTCACATGATTATTCCTCCTCTTCCACCTGCCCCCCCCTTCCCTGCCCCATTTTATCCAAGCACTGTTGATTCTATGTCTCTATTCAAGCTGAAATGGAATAGATTTAAGCTGCTGATAGAGCAACAGACTTTCTAGCCTGGACATTTATAAACAGTTTTCTGAACTTCTGGGTTTCCCCATTTGGTGTTCCAGTTTGCACCTGTTGTGTTTATATGAGCATGTAGGCAGTGACTAAAATTGCACATTGCTAGTGAGCATCACTGCGAGATGGGGGAAGGATGGGAAAAGTGGCATTTCGCCCTTCAGTCAGCTTCATGGAATCCCTTTCTCCTGTCTTGGTTTAGACCAGAAGCTCAGCTTTGGTCTTAGACTATTCATTCCTTAGTTTTGTTGTCTCTGTACAAGATTTTCTGAGTGAGCAGTCCTAAAAGCTTCAGTGATTTTTGAGTTACCTTGGAAGAGTTAGAACTGACTTTATTTATCTGATGTCACTCAACTAGAACTCTCCCAGTGGTATGGCTCTATAAAACACAGCTCTGAGTGGTTGACAAAGTAACAGTTATTGTGTACGCTTAGGCAAAATAATTATTTTGTCATTGAAAAGAGGAATTCTAACATTTTCAGGATATTAGCAGAATAAAATATTTTGACACAAGTCTTCAGAATATTTCTGCATCATCCAATGTGACTTTGTCTCTTAGCAAACGCAAAACCCCAGGAGGGCATGTTTTTTACTGCTGGCAGCTAGGAAATATATATTAATTTTTAAATCAACCTTCTTACAGCATTTAGAAAGCAGTTATTTTGGTTGCTGTGATTGAGGTCACTGATGGCACTTGTGGTGCATGAGTTTGTATTCGCTCTCCTGAATTTTCTCTGCAGACTTCCAGTCATTTGTGCTGTTGGGGGAAGCTGCATCAGGCACTTTTGGCTTTTGGGTATTTATCTCTGATGCTGTTTCCTCATAGCCCAGTTTTGATATAAACTTCCCCTCAGGGAATTAAGATCCAACAGTATGTATAAAACTTTCATGTGTAATATCATAGCTTTTTCCTTGCTATCTTCCAAAATGTAAGAGCAGGCTCCAGATTCTAATGAAGAATCTCTTGCCTTCGTGTTTTATTAAGGCTCTTGTGCATTGATGCTTACGATGAGTTCAGGTGAGGTAAAGGTGCACTGTTTATTAAGTCTTGTTGCCTTAGAAGCATCTCAGTATCTTCCATTTTTCCCGTGATTTTGTGTTGCTCTTCTTGCTGCTGTGTTTTGCCCATTTGGAAACATGTGACACATTAAGATAATAAAAATTGTGCTGTTGTTTCCCAATAAATGCACTGGTAAGCCATAAGATCCTTCTATTTGTAAAACATATTTATAGTTATTTAATTGTAAAATTCTTTGTAAGATAGAACTGGTGTAAACAGGTTTTTAGCTGAGAATTTGAAATAGAGGAGTTTTGAACTCTTAAAAAGAAACAAAAAAGGTCAGCTGTTAGCAAGAAAAAGAGGTGGATTGAAACTACCATAGCCTTAGGACTAAATTAAAGAAAAAAGGAAAAAAAAAACCCAACAAAAAACCCCCAAACCACAAAGCTACCAATACTTAGCAATGTTCAGTCTTTAAACCTCATTTATTTTTTAATGGTCTTTCCCAAAATTTTGGAAAGTTCAGTGTCCCCTTGGCACACGTCTTCATACGGCCACTGGAGTTTGCAGTAGCATCTTTCCTCCAGGAGGAGGGTTGTAATTATTTGCTGGAAGTGCTTCCATTCACTCTTACACTCAGGAGGAATGCATCTGCTCTCAGCAGCTGGTGGTGGTCTGCTGTCTTCCAACCAGTGTAAATACTTCCATCCCATTCTTGCTCTGGTGTCCTGAAAGAACTGAACAGCAACCAAACCATTCCTGTTTAAGACTTTGTGACCAACAGTCATTTTTAAACACCAGGTAAAAAGTTTGTAATGCCACAATTTAGGATACTCTGATATGGATTTGATGTTTTGGATTATCACTTAATTTTCTAAAATAAACTTTTTAATTGATCTGTTGTGCATAAGCAATGGTATATTCCTGAAACAAAAGCCAAAGGATACCTTTATATCTGAATAATGCTAGTGGTATTATAAAGTTATTTCAGGAGTCTAAAGTCGTTGCACATACTTCAGAAGCTGATGAGACATCTTATATGTGTGACTGGATGTGCTTTGCATTAACTTTTGCTTCAAGTCTAAATTTTCTAAGTGCCTTTACTTACTGGATGACTCTACCTATCAGATCATACCAGCAAATTTTTGCTAAGTTAGGATGAAGCTAGAGTTTAGATTTTGTGCTAGAGATCTTTTGCATCATATTAGGCTAGTCTGCCTGGAAATCAATTTTGTCAGGCATTCTTTAGATTAAAGTGGGTTTTTGTAGGTTTCTTTGGTGTGTTTTATTGTTGTGGCTTGTTTCCCCCCAGCCCCCCGGCAAGTAGCTGAATCATTGGAAAAACAGAGGTATAGCTATATAACTGCAGCATTGTAATAGTTACTGCTATTTATAAACAACCTTCTGTTGTTTGTTATAAGCAGTGGCATAGTGCTGCTTTGCTCAAGGAGGAAATACTTTGGTGTCTAGCAGATTGAGAGGATCTCTTTCAAAAGTATTATGAGTTGAGATGTCCTCCAAAACAAGAAAATGGTCTGACAGATCACACCACAACGATCAGTGAATTAGAGTATGACATTTTCTGAAGCGTGGACCCTTGGGAACAGGTTTTCTCCAAAAAGGTAAATTGTATCAATGATAATTAAAACCCCCTATTTCTGTGTGTATAAGGTTGAATGTGCTACAATTATGATTCTTTTTGTAGTGTGTTAATGAAATGGATGTTTGCAAAGCAGGTGGTGTGGGTTCTTTTTTTTTTTTTTTTTTTGGAGTCACATCCCCCCCAAAATTGGTCTTTTGGTTGCTGCTGGGAAGTATAGTTGCTTAATTTCCCTTGCTTGCTGTGTAACCTACTGATGTTGCAAGTGTCTGCTTCATTGTCTCTTTCCTCTCTCTTCCTCCTGCCCCCACAAAACATGCAGGAAGTAATTTTGGTACTGCGAAGGATCTGACAGAAGAAATAAGATCATTAACATCCGAGAAGGAGGGGCTGGAAGGACTTCTCAATGAACTGTTGGTTCTGAGTGCCAGAAACATCCGAAAATTGGAGAGAATTAAAGATGATTACACCAGACTGAAACAAGAACTTGAACAAGGAGAGGCTGCCTTTGGTAAGTAGTTCACATGCTGTTACAGCTTTTGCTCAGCCATGAGCACCTAGAAGTCTGCTGGGTTTGATTAACCATCCTGCATTTCATAAAATGTACTGTTTTTTCTGAGGAAAGTTTGACCAGGTCTAGGTAAGCAATATCCTGAATATGGTCTCAGCTGTTTCCACTGGAGGTGGGGGAGGCTGAGGGAGAGAAGGGTTATCGCAGCAATATACAGCTTTTGCAGATCTGTTCTCAAATTCTCAAAAACTTTATTTTCTAACCCCATTTTTGTAATAATGATGATGATACTGTGCATTTATTCACATACAGAGAAAGATGTGTAGTTTTTTATGTGGAAGCAGGAGATGCAGTTGTCTGTGACAAAAGAACCTTATTTGGTATATATAACTAAATATTTAGTATTTATTAAAAAATTTGGTGATGAGTCTGAACATAAGAGGTGTAAGGGATGCCTGGTTCTGAAGAGTTCAAGAGTTTACAAAGAGTTCTCTTTGTAAATTTATGCTTGGGGAGCGGGGAGTTAAACAGCTTCCCAAACACAGCTCACATACAACTATAAGTAATGTGCTTGGGTTGTAGTGTCATGGTGGAATTGGGGAAGTTCCATGCAATTACTGGGAAAGCTACTAACAACAAAATAGCAAAGTCCTTCCTGGACTTGGCTTATCCTCTTGTCCGCTGTACCCTCTCCTGAAGTTAAGTGAATAAAGTGGCCTTGCTGCTTGATTAAATGAAAAGGCTAAGTAACATTTAATTGACTAAAAATGTACAGTTACTATAGTTACCTCTAAATAGCTGAGTATAAATCTGAGAGCTACTTTAAAGCGCTAGGGGTTTGAAATGTCTTTCCTTTTTCAGGACCATATGAGGAGTAGGTTGGCAGAAGAAAGGAAAGTGCCTCTTTTAAAAGTATATGAAGCTTCTTCATAGGCAAGTGGATGGGGCAAAAGCTATTTTAGAAACAAAGTTTTGTAAGCAATGAAACACATCTAAGTATTTTAAAGATGCATAGAGGAATATATACACACACTCTACTAGATAAGAACTTTTGTAGAAACTAGATGGTTAAAAATTTTAAAAATGATTCCTCAACGTAGTGCATTGTTAACAAAGCTCTGTGATTCAAAGCCATGTCAGGCAATACTTCCTCATTACTGGGATTTGCAAGTGAGTTGAAGGGGGTTCTGACCTTCCAATCTGTCCATTTTGTTGCTCCTTTGTTTCTAGGACAATTAAACTTCCTATAATACATATGTACTTCTTATTTGTATTTTTCTTCAGCAGGGTTTTAAACAAAATCTGTGCAAGACTGTTGCTGAAGCAACAAAATTGGTTGCAGTTCATAGATTCTTTTTTTTTCCCTTTGCATTTATACAGCTGTAAGGAGGTGTCTTCTTGATCTGACCTCTCCTGTCCTGCAATTTGTGACAATAAATTGCAAAACACTGGATGTTTACCATGTGGATTGTTCTTTTAATTTATTGTGATTCTGTAGGCATAAGAAGAAATTTATCCTTGTGTAAAATAAAACTCTATCAAGCACATACTAGTCAGAGATACGTAAATTGAAATCTGAGATCTTCCCTTTTCCTTGTCCCTGTCCCCTTGCATGTAAGCTATACTATTTGCTCCTTTAACAGTCGGAAACTCTCTTACATTTGAGAACACTAGCCCGAGTTTGATACCAACACGTTTAATTGAATAAAAGCCTTCTGATGCTTTCTGGAAAATAGTAAACAGATTGTATCTTAAAGATGGCGTCCGCTTTTATGAACCAGTTGTTATTTTGGATAGTACTTTCGTGTTTGGGGAATAAAGCATAAATAATTGGAATATGATTTTGTTACCATTTATTTTTGCTGCTGTTCAAAAGAACTGGAGATAACTGCATTGGCTTTGTCTGTAGTGTGAAAGGTGCAATTTGTGTCAGCATTGCCAAGCTGACTTAATGCATGGCCTCAGGCTTTGTGGTTCATTTAAACCAGTAAAATCCCTGTAGCTGCTGAGGTGAGTGGTTTTGCCTTTTCCTCTTGTTCCTGCTCCATCCTGTACGCCAGCTCAGTGCTGACCAGAAACCTGATGTGAGCCAGCATTAGCACACCCGTGAGACCCACCAGCATGTGGTGGGACTGTCAGCATTGGCAAAAGGGACCACAGCAGGGGTCTGGGGCTTGTGATGGGGAATGTATTGGCCCGCTGCTGTTGGTGACACTATGATTTTCTGTGAGTGTAGTCTGGCAGGAAAGTGGCTCCTAAAATGTTTCTGCTGCTTGAGCTAGTGTGCAGCGTGGGCTCAGCTGCTCTGGGCTGTGGGTTAAATTAGTGTGAATCGTTGGTCCCATTGCTTGGTGCAGCCAATTCCTGGTTAGTTTGATTTCTCCCTCCATAGCTGCGAGCCAGGGAGAGAAGTCCTTACTCCATCTAACTCTGCTAACTGAGGATGTTACTGTCCTCCAGCTTTTTTACTATATGTCTGCCCAGAATTTGTTAGGGAGCCCTTCAGGCCAAATTAACCATGCTAACTTAAACAGCAAAAATGATCTGGGCTAGGCTGGCTGCTCCGTGTCCTGGTGTGCAGTAGGGATGTACCCGTGATTCCTCCTCGCAGCACAGTCGTGCTACACTTTGGCTCAACTCTTTATGAAATAGGTTACTGAAAGTAATGCAGAGAAAGTGATCCCTTAGTCTCCTCATCTTTGAATGTTTTTGTTAGTTTAAGTAATTTAGTGGGTTTATATGTCTTTCAGTGTAGAAAGGAAATGCTTCTTTTTCTACAGGAAAGGTAATCGGGTCAACTGAGGGATTGGACTAGATGATCTTTCGAGGTCCCTTCCAATCCCTGACATTCTGTGATTCTGTGAACTGGAGCTTTTTGTCACCTCTCATGCTTGCTTTCATGCTGTTTCCAGGGAAAATCTTCTTCTTTCTCTGTATCAAGAGCCCTCCCACTTTTTTTAAGTATAGCACCTTTAAACCTTCTGCATAGGTATTCCTACACATGGGTATTTCTACATCATCTGGCACTTGAACTGTTATTTTCTGTGCCTGTGAACTTCATGAAAGCTTATTCCCCACCCCCCCCGAACATAATACTATTTTGTCTGGAAGACATTAAACAAAAAAAATGAAATGCTGAAATAAGTGTGTATGTTTGTCTTTCTCTTGTGTATAAATTGGTCACTTATTTTTTTACTTCATTAATAATTGTTGATTTCTCACAGTAATGCAGATATAAGGAAGCAGACGTCAAGGGAAGAGACTTAATCACACAATAATCAGAGCTGGAATTTTAAATAGGACACATCATTAGCATGTTAATGAATTTTCTCACTTTGTGCCAGCTGCCCAAGTAGAAAAGATATTGCAGATGTAGTGCAAAAATCAGGCTTGGCTTACTGTGTTGAGAGCTGTCAGTGCTCCCTGTAAAGGAGATTTGACAAAAATCCTTTCATATTTTTAGAGATGCTCAAAAATATGATTTTCCCATTGCATAATAGAAGCATTGACAAGTAATGCTATTTATTAGCATTTTAGGATGAATAGTACTAATTTGCCCTTTAGACAGTAACTTTCTTCTAAGGGCTTCAGAACATTTCTATAAAAGTAATCAACTGTTACACTGTTTTACAGATAGGAAAGCCAGGGACACAGAGGTCATATAATTTTACCTGAAATGGTATTCTAGCATCATTGAATTAATCATTTGCAATAAACAGATTTGAAATCAAGTGATGCTTTGTGTGAGCTTTGCATTCTTCTAAGCTGTGGATATTTCTATAGCCTAAAACATAATGGTTCTGGGAAGATCACTGAAGATCACTGTGCTTTACTGTTGAGCAGAGCTGCCTTATAAAGTCAGAAGGTTCTGTTATGACAAGGAAAAGAACTGCTTTGCAGCCCAAAACAACCAAAACCGTGTTCCAGACAAGTGAAGCTTAATTACTTGCCTGTCTGCCAAATTGCTGGATTGAGTTTATAAGTTCTGGCTTGGGTTGATTGACATTTGTAACCCAGGGCTGGAAATGAAACCTATCCTCTTGTCTGGGTTTTCTCATTTCCAGTACTGATGGGCAGGTTTTCCTGCCTCATTTGCTGAATTCCTTTTGTGCCTGCACTCAGCCATTTTCTGCCCCCATCACACTTTTGGGAAAGCATCTCCTGGTAAATAATGTGTGTATGCACAAAACTAGGGGGGCTATATTTTGTGATCTGATTGCTAAGTCATCTTAAGTAGAATTTATATACTGAATTAATTTCTAGAGGAAATGTAAAATAAAGGCTATCATGCACATCAAAGTAACTTTTTAACTCTTTTAAAAAAAACTGTTGTTTGGAGGCTGATACTTCAGTCTGTACTGCTCAACTCTCATTGTCATAATTGAGTTTTATTGTCTTAGAAATTGCTTGTGTAAGTCCTAAAGCTCTTACCAGCCTGCTTGTAGAGTCAGGCTTTCTGGAATTGAACAGATATATTTATTAAATAATGAATTAGATGTAGCAGAGATATTTCTTAGGAAGCTGTTTTTTTGTTTTTGTTTTTATAACACTCAGGTTTTTTTCTCTTGTTCAATGCACATACTCTGCATGCTTGGACATAATATCTCATAGCTTTTCGTCCTCTAACAGAAGAGAAACCTATCGAAAAATTTTATGTTTTGACTTACCTAATTAATAATAAAATGTGTTCAGAATGTACTCTGAAGAATAACGAAATTCTCCTAGTCTTTTTACAATCATTGTTCAAGAAGCTGAACATTTAGCCATTGTGGAGGATGCATTTAATTAGCCTGAAGCTTAATATTATGTGGACAGCAGAAATAACTAGTGGTGCTGCTTAAAGTAGTACTGGCTTTGCATACTGAAATATTTATGAAAAGCAGGTTCTATGCTTCATGTGCAATTGTATAGGATGTGATTTACCAAACTGTTATGACCATTTACTGCAAAGCATTTTTACTCTCTTTCAAAGGCACATTTTTATTCTGACAGGTTCAACA